AGCCGTCGTGTGTGTTTTGTATGTTAATCGTTTATGAGTTTAAGCTCAGCTATTTTTTTCCCTTCCTCGGAACGCTGAACACAACACAAGACCAGATACCCAGACAGACTAAGAGACGGGCCCAATAGTTTAATTTGTATTTGAATGAACAGTTCATTTTATGCCAAAGTGGCAAAAGGCAGCTGCACCAGTTGAGGGAATGTCGATAGCATTTCGGGAGCAGCATTTCACTAAAGCTATCCACTTTGTGGGAGTTGTTAAGCGTTTAAGACTTTAATGCGTGTTGTACAACAAAATTAAGCTGATTTTTTGTTTGGAATCTAGGCATAAACATAAATTATGCATTGGCGTTGGTGTTTTACTTGAGCAGCAAAACGAAAGACTTAGGCAACGAACTTGATTTTGAACAGAATTTTGTAAATGTTTTTAATGATAATTGGTTTTCGGTTCTATAAAAGGCGTATTAATACAAGAGAGAAGCTTAGTTAAATATAAGCAAATATATATAAGCTGGAGAATATGTTTTTGTTAAGCCAAATTGTTATTTTCTTTCTAACCAAAACTCTAGCTATAATAGAATACAGGAACTATCTTTGGAAATTTTCCAAATCCAAGAAAAAAGGATTTATCAACATGGTTTGAAAAATGGAAATATGATATCGCATATGAAGAATTCTATAACCATTACAGAATATAAGTATTAATATATATTTTCGAAGAAGGGTGTAGTAGTTGGAACTGCTTACTTTAGAGCAGCAATAATCATAAGTTAGCGCAGCAAACGCTGAAACTTGTTATAGAGAGTCAGTTGTGTTCACGATTTCAGGTTATATACAAATGATATTTAATCCCGCAGGTCACTGGAGTCGTAACACTTAATTGAACAAAAGTGGAATCCGACTTTTGTTTACAGTTTTTGCGACTTCAAGCTTCTGACCACATTTGCGGGGCCTTAACTCACCTTCCTAGTTGCTTTTAACTGTTTCAATTTAGATGCAAATAATTGTTGTGAGCAGCAGTTGCAATGATCTGTGATCTGTGATCTTAGACTCAGCAGCTGCTTATGATAAATCATAAGTCACACGTGTTTTCATTAAAACGTTCAGATGCCGTGCAGTCGCTGCTTATCCGTGAGAATCGGAGTCCGATTGTGAATCTTGGCTGCGCATTCGCATGCAAATTAGATTTTTTAATTGGCGCATAAAAGGCGGCGACAACGCTGAGAGCCGGTAGCCGGTGGATCGGGGAGTCGGTGCCCGGGCTCATGGCAGGGAGTTAGAGCGTTTGTATTGCAGTTGACCCCCTGGCTGGGAATTGCGTGAAAAGCAGCAATGGTAAACTCTCTGCGAGCTGTTGGCGTCATCGAGGTGCTACAATGCCATTTGCTTTTATGGTTATTGCGCTGGGTTGCCGCGTCTGTTGTTGTTGCATCAATGCAAATCAATGCGCCAAATTGTGGTTAACATTGGCGCAATGTTGGCGTTTTTAATTGACAATTCTGAGGCTCTGTGGCCTCCTAGTCAAGGTTCAGTGTTCGGTATTCAGCATTTTGGGAAAGTCAAATGCAGACGTCGCGGCGCAGTTTCCGTTGCCCTCCCGCCGCGACAATGCCCTGGAGGATAGACGTCGTCAAAAGAATGAGCATCATTAAAATTAAGGAAAAAGGAGCAGCATGACATGCGAGGCGGTACTCAGGTAAAGCTATTCAGGGGTGGCTTTGGATCGAGCTGGGCTGCGCTGGGCTGGGCTGGGCTGGGTTGCCTGCGGCTCGGAATACGCTTCTTGACAGGCCGGCCGCGGGCGGCTTTCTTTTGTTGAAGCAAAGTTTGAAAGACGTTAACCGAGATTGCAAGATTGTCGTTTCCCGCCAAAAGTTAGGGGGTTGCACGACACGATCGGCGGTGGTGGGTTGCGCTCGGGTGGTGGTGGTGGTGGTGGGCCAGCAACAATAATGCTCGAGCGGAGAGGGTGATGACTGCCCAACCGTGGGAAGATTTCGAACACAAAAAGCAATAGCACAACTGATTGTAAAGGCATTTTCTGTAGGATTTCACGTAAATTGCAATGCAGCTGCACAACGCAAAAAGATGCCGAAAATAATTTTGCCAAAGATCTGTGGGGTGTTAAAGTTTGGATTGTTGTTCGTCGATGGCATCACTCATGCTTGGCGTAGGCAATTACGACATTAAAATGTACTTAAATCGGCCACAAATTTGCATAAAACAAGCAGCGCAAGTGTATGGGAACCACAGCGGCGACAACTTCATTAACAAATCAGCGACGCGCCAACGCCAACGCCAAGAAATGTTACATTTTGTGTTGGTTGATTGGTTGGTTGCCTCCAGACCGACGGAGGCGTAAGATACGAATAGTATCAGCATTCGTATTCGTATTGCTGTTGCTGTTGGTGTTGCTGTCGCGAATTGGCTGCCAGTTATTGCCACCTTCGCGTCGGCCAACTGGGCCTACACCATTTTGGTTTTATTTGTTCGCGGCCTCGTCAGCGTAAATATTGTCGTTGTGGTTGTCGCTGTTGTCTCATTTCAATAAGTTATTGTTGTAGTTGTTTCACACCAATCAACTAACACTAACAACACACACACACACACACACACACACACACACACACACACTCACACAAGCAGAGGCTTACACTTACACTCAACATGTACACAATCAAACGCACGCAAGCACACATACACGCACGCTTACACATACAGATCTATCTGCATAGCTACACCTACAAACGGGCTGCTGCTGTTGTTGTTGTTGTTGGTGCTGCTGCCCGCCAGCAACACGAAAAATTTTTGTACGAATCGCGTAAACGCGTTTTTGCGTTTCGTTTATTTTCCCTGCCCACAATTCACATACACAAGCATATCGCATATTGGTATTGCTGTGTGTGTGTGAGAGCGCTCTTGTGTTGGTGTGCTACTATTCGTTCATTCACAAAACGTGGCCAGCGTCTGCGTGTGTGTGTGTGTGTGTGTATGTGAGTATGAGTGCCTGGCATGCTTTTGGCTCGTCTCTGTTTCATTTTGGTCTTTGTTTTGTAAACACACCACACACACACGCACAAGCAGCAACACACAGATACAGAGCGTCGGCAGCTGCGTCGTTCAGCTCACACACAGATACAAATACATATACAGCTACTGAGAGCACGCGCTCGGCTCTCAGGCGCTGCATCGGCATTTCAAGTTCAGGCGTTCGACGCTGGCGTTGAAGTTGCCGGCATTTGACTGCGCGCTGTGCATGTGTGTGTGTGGTAGAGAGAGTGAGAGAAAGAGAGAGATAAAGAGTGGAGTACTGTGAGAGTTTTTTGTTGTGGGAGCGCGTTCGATTCTATCCGGATAAAATTTATCCGGCAATGAGTTGTGATATTGCGAATACAATAATTTTGATTGTAATTCACATTTATTTTTTGTGTGATTTACTTTTTTGGCTGAATATGATTATGAAAATAAACACTAATATTATTTTAAAATGCGCGGTCAATTTTGAAAATAGTTGTGAAAACTTCAAGATTGAATTATCAAACCAAATAGCAAATAAAAACCCTTATGGATCATTTAATTGATTTAATTTACGAAGAAAATTGTTAGTTTAAATTTCACCACACATTTATGCACGCAATTAACGATTTGACTTGTTTAGCATTGCATAGGTCGCTGACTTGAGTAGAGCTATATAATATTTGATAATATATTTAATTGATAATGTATTGTTCTTTTTGTTATTGTTAATCGCTAGTAACTTATAATAGTGGCATTATATATACAGCATTTCAATTATGTGATAAATATCCATATTCGACATATAAGTTGTTTGTATATTAGGAAGTGCGTTTAGAAATCGGTATACACAGTGTAATTCTTGTATATTATAAGTGGTATATAACCCCATTGAATTACATTTTCACATAAAAAACACTCATAGCTCATGTGAATCGTATTGTCTAAAGGATTGAATTCATTGGCTCACTTTCTGTACTCATTACGTAATCTGCACTTGACAGTTGCACACCCCCACCCCGTCAATATCTATAGGCCATACCCCAACCAATCCAACTCCAACGCTGAAAACGCTCCAAAACAGCAGAGTAGCAACAACAATGAAAAAGTGGGAGGCGCCTATTCGGAGCTCGCTTTCGCAAAAGCGAAAATGCAACGAAGTCTCCTCATTGGTATAAAGTTTGAGCAATTAGAAACCCACGCAGCCATAAACAACAACTACAACGACTTGCGACTAGCGTGGGGGCAACAGCAGCAGCACCAGCACCAGCACCAGCAGCAGCAGCAGCAGCAACGAGCAGCAGCTGTCCCAACAGCAGCAGGGAGCAACAGCAACTCGGCAGTTGCAGCCACAAGCGCCAAAACTGCTGCAAAAGCAACAACATCAGCTGACAGTCGTGAAGTGGAGAGATAGAAATGCAAACAAACAACTGCGACAAAAATCAGCAGGCAGCTTTTATGTTGTTTTGCACGTGCTGCGGTCTCAGGCTCTCCCACTGGCTCTCTCACTCTCTGCGGCGACTTTATCCGGCGAATGAGACGCCAACAAACACATACAGCCGCAAAATAATTGCGTTGGTGTATGCATGTGTGTGTGTGGCGTCGGCAGCAGAAGCAGCTGCGTCGTCGTTGGCAGCCAATTCTACTTAGAAAGGCCGCTGGCTGCGCCAGTGTCTTGCTGGGCAGTGTCGGTTCAGGTTCAACGTGAGAGCCCCGCACGCGTTCGCTGTCGTCGAAGTGCCGCAAAAGTAGAAAACGTTTCAAGCCCGGTTTCCAAGCCAAGTTAGCAAAAGTCTCGCGAATAGCTGCTGCTTACATTTTTCGGTTGGCCAAATTGTGCGTGCAATTGCAATTGCTCTATTGGCTCCCGCCACCACCCCCCCTCTGCTACTATTGTTGCAAACAAACACTCTCTCTCCCTCTCTCGCGCTGCCCGTTGTTGGTGTATGCGTGTGTGTTGGTGGTGCAGCCGAAGCCAACGACGACGACAACGACTACGACGATGCCGACGACGACGACGACGCCGACGACGCGACGACGGGAAAATCTCTTTGCGTTGCAGTGAAAATTTTTTCGTACGTTTTCGTTATTTGTTATTTGCACGTTGACGCGTCGACAACAAGAAACGCGGTACACGGTTACGAAGTGTAAGGCGAACGCGCGTGCAACAGCAACAACAGCAACAACAACAACAGCAACAACCAGAACAACAACAACCGTTAAACGTTAACACGCGTCAGTTATAAAAAAAAATAATACAAAAAAACGAAAGAAACAAACAAAATCGCATATTTATTGATATTCAAAACGCTTTACGCACATCGTATTCTAACGATTAGCGATTACTTTTTTAGTCACTTAACTTGCTAAAACTTAACTAATAAATCATCATAATTGTACCTAGCAGCGAATCACAACAACAATTTTTAAGCTAATCAATTTTTGCTCTCTCACTCAACTAAACTTGCCAAATTTTTCAATCACAACAAATATTTTATAAAACAAGTTATTACAAAAATGAAAAAGAATAATATTATAATAATAAGAAGTGCATAAAGTCGCAATTGAAGTGTCTTAAAAGAAATATATATATATAAATGAAATAAAGAAGATATATACATGCAATAAAAATGCAAAGCTTGCCAAGTTTGAATTACCAACAATAAAAGTATATTAAACATAATTGCAATTGTTTAAACACACACACACACACACACACACACACACACGCAACACGCGAACAGCACATACATAGGCAAAAGTTTGTGATATTTTTATGATATTAGCAATAAAGTATACAACGAAAATATAATAAAGAAGTAAATACAAATATTACAAATAAAAATATTAAATGTGTGGTGCGCTCACAAATTATCAACAACAAGAACAACAACAACAGAAACAACGACCAGAAGAAGAACAACAACAATAGCAACGGGCAGCTGCCATTTATTGGATAATGCTTGGATAATGCTTGCCAAAGCGCCCTAAACAAACGAGGTGAGTTTCATTTATAATATTTTTTATTAACTTTTTTATTGGTTAATATTCTTTTTTTTTTTGCCGACGGCAACGTCTTTTAGGCTCAGGCGCCAGTCGTCGCCAATTGGCAGTCGCTGGTTGCCTCAGCAGAAATGTGTTTTTTTGAAATGTGTCAAAAAATTCAAGATCTAATTACATAGCCAAATAGCGGGTATTGTTGTTGCCGACTCAGTTAACAGCCAAACTGCAACTGCAACTGCAAACTGTTCGTAATCAGCGCAATATCAGATAGCACAGGCCAGTTGATATACGGCGCTGGCTACAGTGTGTGTGCGAGTGAGTGTGTGTGTGTGTGTTAAAATCAGTCCTAATAAATTGGCAAGAGCATGGGTAAATTGTGTATAAATGCACCATATGGTTAGAGTTGGACTTTTAGTTGGTGCAGGCCTTTACTATAGTGACTAACGGGGAAGTCAATAGGTCGACCCATGCACACCTACAACAGTCCATGGGTCTCGCCTGACTCACTGATAGATGCTGCTCGGTGCTATCATTACCAGCCCCCAAGATGAGGAGCTGCAGCTGCTGTTGCCCCCATTGATATTGTTGTTGATTTGGTTTGACGTCAATCGCCAACAACAAACATCGACAATGACAACGACATTGTGTGGCCTGCAAATTGACGCACAATAAAGGCACACAAACACAAGTATACTAAAAAAATACACGGACAGCTAAGAAAACCGGACATGTTGCAGGCGTGCAGCAGCAGCGGCAGCAGCAGCAGCAGCAACAACTACGGCAACTTTTGCAGGAGCAGCAGCAAGCCCTTGAAACCTGCGCACAATTAATGCGAAAGACTTTTAATTGCCATCAAATGCCATAATAAAGCACAACAGCCACTGCGCGAATGTGAACTATGCCAATTGCCTACACCTTGGGCATAAAAATGGGCAACGGCCAACTGACAAATTTGTATGCACGCGCTTCAAAAGTGCAATATTAATTAATTCCAGCAACAACTGCAACTGCAGCTTCAACTGCAACTGCTGCTCTGTATGCGGCAGAAGTTGCTGCTTAGACCGGGCAATTAAATTGTATGTCATTCATTGGTAATTTATACCATTTAAAGGCAAACAACAACAACAAAAACAACAACAGTAACAGTAGCAACAGCAACTCTCTCGCTAGGACATGTTGCTGGCGACTGCAGTCGCTATAGCTGCTGCCCACGTTTACTCTTGTTTTTTTTTTATATATATTTATTTTCTTTATTTTTTCGGCAAGACATCAGCACACCTGGCAATTAGCATGCGTGCGTGCCACGGGTCGTATGAGTAATGATCAAAACGTTCTGATACTTTTTGGTGGCTAAACAGTTGATCGATCGCTCGTTTGAGCTGATCGCTCGATAAATGCAACTCGCCATGAAAAGTGCAGACCTTAAATGGGCATTAAGCTATTGCACATTTCTCAATATGTCGCGCGAGTGTACCAAGTGATTTTTTCTCTGTTTTCAACTCGATGTCGATGTCTGGCTTTATACGCACCGCACCTTATAAGACAATGACGACGTCTGCCGGACTGTCGCCCGGACTGACTGACTCTGCGACTGTTTGGCATATAAAGCAGCCAGAGAGCAGCTAGCGACGTCACCCGCACCACAAGCGACGCCATTTTAAAGTGGCTAAAAGTCGCCAGCCGGTGCCGCCAGCGAAGCCGTTGTCGAATCTCCGCCACCCTCAGAGTGCGTTTCATTGGCATTTCTTGCATTTGCATTTTTAACCAAACAAGAAAAAGTCAAAATCAAAAATTAGTTTCGAGGTGCCGAAGGTGAAATACCCTAGAAGACATTTAGTAGAATTCTAGCAGAGTTTGGTATTTAGTCAAAGTGGCTCCTAGCTTAGATGAGAAGAGCAAAGTATGGCTTGTAATTTATGTAAATTATAATAGTTCGACTGTTGCGTCTGATCGGTTTATATATACTGTTTAACGCAAGCAAACTAACATTCTTAACTAGAGCTTCAATTCCTGTGGGATCTGTTTGAAAATAATAAAAATAAATCTATGCGAATAGGTCATTTTGTTTGAAGCGACCTTTGGGCGTGGGTAAACAAATAAATTGATATTAGGTAGGTATGTTTAAAGTTTTTAACTTACCAGATTATCAGACTATGTTGATTTTATTCGGGCTTTAGTCAAAAGCTTATTGACCCATTTTTGTAAGCAGGGTATTAAACGTTTTTTTTTAAGCGTCGGGGACTACTTTTCGTGTGTTAATTTAATTCGTGCATAGCCTTAAATTCACCATTTTAATTCCCTGAAAAATAAAAAAATAAAAAAAACAACAATGACAACAATAAAACAAAATTTAAAATATATATGCATATATATAAGTAGTAAATCTGACTAACAAAAGCGCGCTTTGAAATTGAGACGTTGGGCAAAATAAAATGCTCACAATACACAACAACATGAAAACACTTAAATATATACAACAAATTTAGGAACGAAACAAAGGCATGTAACAGAACAAACAACAATAGCAGCCATAACAACAACAACAATAAGAACAAAAGCAAGAAATCGTAACGAAACGTAGCGAATACAAAAAATAAAGAACTTGAGAATGTGTAAGTTGAAATAAAAATTCTGGCGCGTTAATTAACTTTAAACGATTGAAAACGAATTGATTTGGAGAAGCCATTTGATTTGGATTAGTTGTGCTTGCTTTGTGGAGTTCAAGAGTCGAGTTCGAGACCTTAAAGCACACAACGATCCGCCGTATAAAGACTAAAATTAAAATTTAATCATCACGTGTGCGTTAAAAAGCGGGACAGACATAGGCTTGAGACGATCCATGGCAATGTCTAAAACTAAAGCTGTTAATTAGAATGCGTTAAACAATAAAACAAAGAAAGCCCCAATGGGGACTGTGGAGCTATGCTCGCATGTGGGGACTGGGGCAGGTTGCGACACTTGCGAAGAGATTAACACCTCGCGGGCGGCAGACATTTGATAGGGCTCGAATACAGATTCGGATTTGGATTTGGGGTTTCAGTTTTTGGATTTGAGTTTTTTGGGGATTCGGATCATTTGGATTCCATTTCGGCATGCGTTGTTATCATGCATTTGATAAACGTTTTGTTTTTCATTAGTTAGTGTGGCCCGTAGGCAACATCAAGGCGTTGCCAGCCAAATCTCAGACATGGACTAATTCAGATCACACCCCTTCAATTAGCAGCCAGCGGCGAATTCTCGACAACTCTTTTAAATCGTAAATTTTATACAAAACATTTTGGCGGCCATTTTCTATGGGCGCACAAATGTGGTTCACCGCTGAAAAATGTGCGGTGGTGCAAATGTTCTCAAGCGGTTGGTGGTTTATTGTTTTTGTCAGCTGTTGATAAGCAAAGTGGTGCGCCTTACTACGTCAAAAGCGTCGCGCATTATCAGCCTTGTCTATATATATACTTGAGTATATATAGTTGAATTTTTAATATGCATGGGCTGTTTATTTATTTTTATTTTCTGCTTCTTCTTCTTCTTCTTAATGGGAAACCACACACAGAAATTAAAGAACAAATTAAAAAAATAAAAATTAAAAAAATGTACTTGAACCACACTGACAATCACATACATGCATATCAAAAATACTTATGTGTGTGTCGCAGAATAATTCACATGAGTTTTAATATAGCTAAACGTGCCACAACTTAGACACCTCCAGCTTTTAGGTACTTCAGCAAGACGGCAAGAGCAACATCAGCGGCAGCGCCACATTTGAAAACAATTTTTATTTAATCTCAAGTAGTTTCAATTAACGTCATTGGACTACATAGATTGTTGATTATGCGACGCGTTTGCTGTGCGCTTTGAATTACCATTAAAAACAAATAAAAAATAAATTTAAAAAGCAGGCAAATAAATATAAAGGAAATACATATTTTTTTCCAAAGAATTATATTAAAAGATTAAGTGATTGTGACCACCCACCAAACAAAGCAACAACAATAACAACAAATTGAATGAAATAATATTTTTATAACAAAATAAAAAACAAAAAAATACTCGCACTTGGTCAGCTTTATCAATTTATAGACGACGGCTTTCAATTTACGTCACAACGGCGCGCAATTCATGAATTTTACAATTTATACTTAATAAATATTTCGTTCGACTTCAATTGAGTATTGAGTTTTTTTTGTTGCCAAACCGTTTTGTGTGTAGGTGTTGTTTGATAAGCAAGTGATAAGTGCGCCACTCGCCATAGTGGTGGGTGGTTAGTTGCTGGGCTTATCGGCGTGGTACAGTGCTCCGGGGTTCTGCCGAGCAGCGCCAATTAAAAAATTTACGAGTGGCTCGTAAACTGCGCAAGGCGAGCATTGCATAAAGCCCATAACTGACTCATAATCTCCATGTGGCAAGCAGCATGGCGACAGGCGGCAGGCGGCTGGCGGCTGGCGGCAAGCGGCATGCGGCAAGCGGCGCTTCATTAGGCCAACATTCAAACCTGTTGCTCGCACGCAACTTGCCGCAATGTTCACCCAGTTGGTCACTCGGTTTGTCTCTTTGTCTCTCAGTCCATCTGTCTATTTGTCGCTTAGCACATGCAACTGTCTGCACTTAGCGCTCGCTGTCGCCAATTTGAATGTTGTACTCATCCCCCGTCTGCCCCTGCACTCCCTGGTCAGTTCCCCGGCACTTTTCAAGTTAAGCGGTTTTCTTTGGCCCGTTGCTTATCTTTGTGGCAGCGTTTGAAGTTTTTTTTTCTTATTTTTATTTTCTTATTTTTTGACCGCTTCGCATAATATTTTAGTGCACTTTATAAGCACAAATGCCTGTCGCATAAAAATTAATTGTAATGTTTGTTTATGTGCTCGGCAAATGTTAAACAAGTTTTTTGCCACACGGCGTATGAGGAATGTGCCGAATGCAAACATAAGACTGTAATAATAATTTTTAATATGCAACTGGACAGTTAAGGCAAAAGCAAACGTAGCCTAAACGCTAAATTA